GTTGTAAAGTCTGATGCTTTACCAAAATGAAATATATATACATACAATCATGATTTAATAGCCAAACTGTTACATATAGATATAAAGTAAGACAAAATAAATCCATACACATAAATTCATGGTCATAGAAAGAAGACATTGATTCTATCTAGGTTTTGTGGAACACCTGTACATAGTCACGAAAGGAATGTGTTCATATAGCTGAATGACAGGGAAAACAAAGACATATAAATGACATAGAGAATACATGGTCAGTGTTTTGAAATATAAGCTGTATTTTGACAAGGGTGAAGAAAGACAAAAGTGGCAAGTCTTTCACCATGTATTTTATTTATCCTGCAACATTGTTGGAAAATCAGACTATCGAAACTTAAACAGTTTTGTTGTTCAATCTGTGTTTACCTGATACTGATGTTATGCTGATTTTTGATGGATGACAAAATTATTGCTCCATTGGATATAAATGCAATTTTATGAATTTTCATAAATTCACTTGTTCATTTCAACATCTAAAATTGCTTATTTCAACAACTATTTATATTTCTAAACGTAAGATATTACTGCACTTGCTAAGATACAGCTGTTTTCTGTCACTGCCAAATACAGCAAAAGTATATGTGGCAGGTGTATTCCAACAATGGAAGTATCAGTTGCAGGATAAAAGAAAACAACGACTCTGTTTGAATGAAAAATCGTCAGTTTAAGCAACATTACACAATGACTATGAATATGTATTTGAAAGGAACATATTACATAGGCTGAGTATTTATAACATAATTAGTAAGTATATGTAATAGATAAACAATCTTTTTGTGGCCTTTGATTACACAAACTTATCAGTTTTCTTCCTTGAAGTAAAATTTCAGAGATATGGCTTTATTAAGTCAAATATGGTATGTAGATATGATTGATGGCTGGTGAGATAATTGCTCTACTGTCTGTGACCTAACATTATGTATATAATAATACCATGGAAAATTTGAATGCTGTAATTGAGGAAAGTGTTGTCACAGTTTTCAATCATTTTCCTTAGCTGATGCAGGTTTTGCTTGTTCAGCACTTTTGCCTCTGAGAATTTAACCTTGTTTTAGTTTTAAGTGGCTGTACATCAGCACGCTAGAACAAAGTATAAAATTTTATGGATGAGATAAATAAATTCCTTTGTGTGTTTGCTGGGTTTATCACCATATGAACAGCCAGGGTCATTTTGAGGCATGGTCTTCTAGTTGGTGTTGATCTTGCTGAACACCATATGAGAGGCCTGTCACATGTTGTCCTGAGCAATTTGGGTTAATTGTCTTGGTCAAGGTCACAAACATGACAGCATGTTCACAGAGTGGTTCATTTCCTTAGAAACACAAACTGATACAGGTAGAGAGCGTATAGTCCTCAGATTGTCACCTAAGGTTATGTATGTCAACGAAACCAAAAGAGCTATCACAGCCCCTTCCCTTCCATGGGAAAGAAATCCATGGCACAAAATAAAGGTAAACTTTTTCTAAGGCATCTTTTGGCATAAAAGATACAATTATGTTTTCTTGAGATAGTTTGGATAGAGGTGGAAACAGTTTGAGAAATAATGATACATTTTTACATTGTAAATTCTTCTCCTCCAGTACTACTAAAATTTTTCTGAATATTCTGTGATATTTAAGTTGTTGAAAGTTTCTTGCTGCCTTTCAGGATATAGATTTTAAAAGCTGGTGTGTTTGCTCTAATATAAACATGTATAGTTATAATGTAATCACATAAATTTTGATCCTACTTTTCATGATGTAATCAACTGTGTTGTATCTGGAAATCAATTTTTACTTCATAAAATCCAAGGTATTGTGTACACCTGATGCCATGACATGATTGGTAATTATGAATGTCTGATCACATCCTTTTGAACTTCATCAAATTTTTTCCAAGACTGTCTGAGGATCCAACTATGACACAATACATTTTAAAATGTGTTATGTACAGGTCTGCTGTCTACATTACCTTATACCCAATCGATCAAACTGAGGTCACATATCTGCAGGGCTGTCTGTGGACTCTGCAGAAATCCTGAACGGTCTATTAAAAACTTTGTCCCAGTGGACACACATTTTGTAGGATTTAGTTACACAATACTGTTATCTCATTCTTTTGTTGTAATTTTACCTCGTCACAATCAGTTGTGATGTATTGTTTGCAATTTCTGCCCAAGAATTAAACGAAATCAATTGATAATCTGATATTATGGACTTTTTTTTAATGAAACTTAAGACTGACAGGGTCTTAATTGTTCTGAACAGCTACACAGCTTTTTAATTTGCTGGGTATTTATTGACACTGTGTACTAGAAAAGATCAATATATGTTGGCCAGTTTACAGGAAATTACACACTGACCTCACAGATAAACACAAGTCTATAGCAGAAGTCCAAATATTGGGTACAGTTTGATAATAACATTTTCCTTATTTGGATATTCTGTATAATATTCTAGTATGTAGCTGTCACATTGATGTAAGTTTCATTTTGATCTCACATATTGGATACAGTTTAATAAGAACAGTCTCCATTGGATATTCTGTATGATTTTCTGCGTAAATTATCTCTAACATCAACGTATTGCTGCATACAAAATATTCCTACGGAACCAAACCAAAAGAGGCAATGCACTGGTATATAGTAATATACTCAAGGGATAAAGAAACCCAGGGTGACATTATTTGCAATATCTTGCGAACTCCTTGTTAAAAAACAATGAAAATCGGACAAGCAACTCTCCACATGGTCCTGTATCGAATGTTGCATTATTGTATTGTGTGACGATGTCTTCTGGGGAAAGCATGAAATGCGAAAATATCATGCACAGCAGTGTTGTGACATTGATTTACACTGCTCATCATATCATTTGGTAGTCTTCATAGAGACACATCACTTTCCGATATTTGGATCAGTTTCTGATAGCATTAAACGATGACATGGCTGACAGAAGTTCAGAGGAGTCAGGCCATTGCGATGATTATGCAAAGTCAATGGCAAATACAGGTTGCAAGACATTTCAGTGTCCATATATGCACTATAGAATGTCTTGTTAGATGTTTAAGGGAAACTGGGTGAGTTGCTGACAAACCTAGGTCTGGGTGTCGATGTGTGATGTCAAAAAGTCAGGACAGGTTTATTCGTCTGACGCATTTGCACATTTGACACCTTACTGCCACTGAATGTACCCTTTACACCATAGGTACTCGCAACCGTCCTTTCCATGCAAAACTGTAAGGAAACGATTGCGAGAAGTTTGTTCTGTGGGTCTATCAAATTTCATATATAGCTTCCCCTTGCGCCAAAGTTGTGCCTTTTTAATTTTGAAACTGATCAGAAAAATAAAATGGCAACCATCTGGATTTGACAAAAATTTGTCTTGCTATTTCTTCAGAGGAGTTTTCAAATTTGGTATGATGATGAAGAGCAAACACAAAAAAAGGAAAGAAAAGAACGATAGAGATACATTTCTAGGATCTATTTATATCACAATAATTGTTGCAGAGGAAGGGCTTTGGGCGGAGGGATGGGGGTTTATGTATGTATTTGCTCAGTCAAGGTATAGTGGAGCATTAAAATGTTGGCTGTTACCAAAAAAAAAAAATGTAAACACTTTTCGTCTTTCTGTCTAACACCAAAGGGCAACATCCTGGTAATCGATCAGGGCTGGAACATTATATAGTTACAGAAAAGCAACCTGATACATCAGTTAAAAGGATATTTATAGATACATTTAGTCAGTGGATTTAAATCTATGTTAGTAACTTGTAGTAAGTGCTAGCTGTTTGGTTTCATGGAACAGTGACATCAATCATTGGTGTCGTCTATAACTTGTTGCTAGTTTAAATAAACCTCAAACTTTAATGGGTTTTCCCTTTTAGGGTTTTAGTACCCTGTAGATATAAGATTGAGTATAAATTGTGACCAACTAGTCATGTAAAACATTTTGTCAGATACGGTTGGATTGAACATTTTCACATCTTTGTCCTGTTAATGAACTGTAATGCAGGGAGTACTTGACACTTCAGTTAAATATATAAAATTATTGGATACCTCCTTTGTAATTTGTTGACAGACAATATGTTTTATCCATTTATCTCTTTAATCTGAATGGGAATTAAAAAAAATTAAGTCTACATTTAATATTAATCAGTACTTAAATGTACATATTGAACAGTTTTCGGCAAATTTCAATAATTTAATGCAATCAAATTTTAGTGCATTATCGTTTTTTGGCAAATTAGTGAAATGACTCATTAACTCATATTTGTGTGCTTGAGTGTGTGTGTGAGTGTGTGTGCATGTGTGTGCGTACGTGTGTGTGTCTGTTTTTTATGGATCAATAACAGAGTAATTTGCCTGTATATAAATACAAAGTGTACTTACATGTTGCCCTCTAAACCACTAACAACGCACACAAACCATGGCATCTATGAGGAGCAACATCTCAATCAGGATACCATCCTGACATATAAGATGTCCCTTCAGTATGTTTCCCTTACAGATAGGTCCAAGAATTTGAAGGTTATCCAGGAATTAATGACTGACATAGGTCCATTTGTGAAATGCACAGAGACTTGACCAATAACAACAACCAATTAGGTGTATAAAAGGAAACATAAAGACCAGACAGCAGATCTAGAATGTAAAGTTTACATTTATTTTAATGATCTGTGTCACTGTCATATAATTACCTGAATCTGCATACTGGAGTAATATGATCAGACTGGGTCCATTACAGCTGTCACCAAGAATGTCTTTCAATGGTGAAGAGGTCTCCAGTCCAATTCCTGACTGACCTTGCATCCTTTTTGTCTCGGATTTTGGGACACCCAATTGAATGTTGGGTATGGGGAATGCAAAGCTGTACTTGGTCAATTACTGGTGTCCATGTATACCTTGTAAGTAACCATTTATAGATATTTTGTAGAGAATGTTATACTCTGTTGTTAAATCTGACAATTTACTTGTATGACTGTTACAGGTGGCTATACAGGGATGGCCTTCTCCCACCAAATACCTCCTTCATCGGCTATGCTCGTAGCAAAATCAACATGGATGAAGTACAGAAGAGATGTGTTCCCTATATGAAGGTAAAGTTTTATACCCGTGTAGATAACATGAACTATTACCAGCATTTGTCATCACAATGCTGGTTGGAGGTTTCCAAAATTTCATATGTAGCCTACTTTTGGTCCCCAGTGTATTTTTGTTTTTGACAATGGAAGTTTGTTATCACTATTTCAAGAGAAGCACAGGATGGATCTTGCTCAAATTTTATATGTAGGTTTTCTTGGGCCCCTAGCTCTGCTATTCTGATGTTAAGTTGGATCAGGAGAAAAATTGCCAACATGTTGCTATAATGGATGTTGACAACTATAGGTTGTTATCACTATTTTTATATAAGTACTGCTTTGATTCTACTTAGTTTTTCATTTTTGGATGGATCAGAAAAACAAAATGGCACTCAGACAGCCATATTTTATATGACAGTTTAAGGATTATATCACTATTTAGGGAGAGGAATTTTCAATGTCAAATGTTCAATATATTTCAAAAAATTGAAAAAAAAATTAAAAAAACAAAACAGAGGAGGTATGTTTTATAGACCCTTTCTTGATTTTAACTAATAAGATTTTAAAAATCATGGTGCATTTAATTAAGTATGTTATCTTTTTAAAGTACTAGCTGGATGGTATGGACATTTTGAATTACTGGGAAATAAATTTAAAAGTAAATCCTGGATTTAATTGTTGGCATGATGAAAGTGCTCCTTGTTTGATTTTAAGTTGGAAATCCAGACAGTAGCCATGTTTGTATAAAGCTTTGATGAAGAACATTTCTGATATGCCAAAATAATGTTAAACAATTCTATTGTTGGTGAAATGCTGATAATGGTATGTATAATCAGCAGTCGCTGTGGTAGATATAAGGTATGACGAAGATCAGAAGGTGTTTTACAGTAACAGTCAGTTACACCGCCTTTAATATTAGACAACTAACTTCATGCTAAAGAATATATTTCAATGAAAAACTTCTCTAAATGTTCGTCTTCAAATTAAATACGTTGACGTTATGAGCTTGTTTGTTAGAATAAGTCACTGGAAAATTGTTTACAATATAGTACAAAAGAGTGTATGGTGATGAGAGGGCTGTGGATTTGTAGACATTACAGTGCCACCCAGGAATCGCAGATTGATCGTTTTAATGTTTGATTACACAGAGCTGGTAGAAAATAACTTTGCCAAATATTATTATCAAATCATCATTCACACTTTGCTGTAGTAATATGCTTTAAAAGTCACTTACAGTGGGAATCTGGACAACTGTAATTTAAAAATAGGGGAGTAGAGAATATTGTTGGAATGTGATTTCAGCCTCCATTTTAGTAATGGTGTATTAGATATGTATTAATAGTATGTCAGTGTTATTCAGTGCATTTTACTATTTTCAAAGGGAGGCAAATTTGCAATGTTACAAAGATACTGTATTTAACTAGCAATAAGCCTAGGGGTTAACATATTTCTTCTCACTCAAAGTTAGAGATGGGCTTATTACTGGACAACAAGCCCAGGGAGCCAACAAATTAATTCTCTCTCAAAGTTAGAGATGGCAAAGGATTGACTAATTACAGGGCAACAAACCAAGGGAGCTAACACATCTCATAATCAAGAGTCAGAGGATGGGCTTATTACAGGGCAACAAGTCAAGGGGCGAACACGTTTCATAATCAAAAGTCAGGGGGTGGGCTTATTACAGGAAAGTGATAAAGTAGTGGTTTGTATTTTTACTAAACAATAATACCCAGGAGCTGTGATATCTCAGTCAATTAGAGCATTGACCTACATCACCTCAGGTGAAGATCCAAGGTGTACAGTTCAACGCTCCCTATTTGTGGCAGTTCATGTTTATCAGTAAGCCGAAAAACAGACCAGTTTATGGTGTTATAGTTGTCTCCTGGAGCAAAACACTTTTTTTATTGCTTTGGATGGCATGCAGTGGGCCTCCCATATCTTGTTCAGTGAGATAGCCACCAGCTACTACAAGGGGACCTCCACCTCAATATTACCCTTGCTTTTCCGAAACAAACAGCCCAACAAACAAACAAACGGTAGCTTGCTTTATATGGGTGGGCTAATTAACAAACATGAAAATATGGTTAGATAAATATGGTACGATTTGAAAATGTAAGGGTACATTCTTAATATTCACTTGAATGTATTTGTCATAGTCATGTTATTCATCATCATTCAAACTATAAATTGCAGGTTCAAGACAGTGAAAAAGACAAACTAGCAGCATTTTTCAAAGTCAATGAATACATTGCTGGAGATTATGAGAAGGCAGCAAGTTTCTCCCTCCTGAACAAAGCCTTGGACCAGAAGAACAATGCCAACCGTATCTTTTATCTCGCTCTACCTCCGTCTGTTTACGAATCTGTCACACGCAATATTAAGGCCATTTGTATGGCAAAAGAGTAAGTTTGAATCATTATATTAGGATATTTGATACATGCTGATGTGCTCCGTTAATCTAGAATATTGGATATCGGTGTAGTTAATGTGATGGAATGACATTACTACCAGGGTATCGACTGTCTGATTTCTGATCTGTATGGAAGGCTTATGTGTTGAAATGTAGGATACTGACCACCTCTCAAGGGATTAATGTAAATCATTTAGGTTAAGGTGTATATATTTGTTTTGTATTAAAAGACCATTATTGACTTGCTCATCACAGATTAACGAAAAAAAAATTCTTCTAAAGATTGATGAAGCCTAGTATAGTGATATGTTACATGTAATCAGCTGATTAATAGGAAATCACAACAACAAAAAATAACACTAATACATTTAGTACAATAATTAGAATGACTTTCTCCTACAAACATACATAGCAATGATGCTGGTCCTGTAATTATGTATAAGGTTTCTCGCGATTTTTTTATATGTTGTACTTGTTCAGGTAATAACAGACCAGCTTTGATGCTGGATATGTTTTCCAGTATAGTACGGTAGAGTCATTAAATTTTTTGTTTTTTTTATGCAGTTTATAGCAGTTGCAAATCTAATGATAATGTTGAACTGCTTATCTTTCCCTGTACATATGAATTCGTTGATTAAGAATATCGCAAACTCAGTGCAAAGAAAATTCAAAGTTTAACAATTTTACTGAAAACAACCAGAAAAATACCAACATGTCAACTTAATCATAATTCAAATTCAATAGAACTAGGGAAAGTATAAACAAAACAAAGACATTAAATGGAGATGGAGACTTCTGAAAAAGTACAAGAAGAATAAGACCAGGTCTTCCAATTAGTCAGTAATGTATGCATATTGTGTATCTTTTTCATGTGCCGAAAATTATTTTGAATTATTAATACTTCGTGAAAACAGTTGATATGTCATTAGATGGAGAAAGGAATAAGAGGAAGATGTGAATGCTATTTCTGTTTGTAGAGGGTGCTGGACTCGTGTGGTGATAGAAAAACCATTTGGCAAAGATCTTGAGAGCTCGAACAATCTGTCCGAACACCTCAGTGCTTTATTCAAGGAGGAGGAGATGTACAGAATTGATCATTATTTGGGCAAAGAGATGGTGCAAAACCTGATGGTGCTAAGGTAAATGGTATGCCCTAATCTGCACACGGAAATGTTCTGGAATTGTGCAGAAGATAAATTTGTGTTATGTTTAGTAACCAGAAACTTCAAATTGACACTATGTCAGTTACATTCATTAATGATTTCTGTAGGAATCTTTACTGGGACTTTCATTAATGATTTCCGTAAGAATCTTTGCTGGGACTTTTATTAATGATTTCTGTAAGAATCTTTACTGGGACTTCTATTAATGATTTTGTAGGAATCTTTACTGGGACTTTTATTAATGATTTCTGTAAGAATCTTTACTGGGACTTTCATTAATGATTTCTGTAGGAATCTTTACTGGGACTTTCATTAATGATTTCTGTAAGAATCTTTACTGGGACTTTCATTAATGATTTCTGTAGGAATCTTTACTGGGACATTCATTAATGATTTCTGTAGGAATCTTTACTGGGACTTTCATTAATGATTTCCGTAAGAATCTTTACTGGGACTTTTATTAATGATTTCTGTAGGAATCTTTACTGGGACTTTTATTAATGATTTTGTAGGAATCTTTACTGGGACTTTTATTAATGATTTCTGTAGGAATCTTTACTGGGACTTTCATTAATGATTTCTGTAAGAATCTTTACTGGGACTTTTATTAATGATTTTGTAGGAATCTTTACTGGGACTTTTATTAATGATTTCTGAAGGAATCTTTACTGGGACTTTTATTAATGATTTCTGTAAGAATCTTTACTGGGACTTTCATTAATGATTTCTGTAAGAATCTTTACTGGGACTTTTATTAATGATTTCTGAAGGAATCTTTACTGGGACTTTTATTAATGATTTCTGTAAGAATCTTTACTGGGACTTTTATTAATGATTTCTGTAGGAATCTTTACTGGGACTTTTATTAATGATTTCTGTAGGAATCTTTACTGGGACTTTCATTAATGATTTCTGTAGGAATCTTTACTGGGACTTTCATTAATGATTTCTAGAGGAATCTTTACTGGGACTTTCATTAATTCTTTCTGAAGGAATCTTTACTGGGACTTTCATTAATGATTTCTGTAAGAATCTTTACTGGGACTTTTAGTAATGATTTCTGTAGGAATCTTAACTGGGACTTTCATTAATGATTTCTGTAAGAATCTTTACTGGGACTTTCATTAATGATTTCTGAAGGAATCTTTACTGGGACTTTCATTAATGATTTCTGTAAGAATCTTTACTGGGACTTTCATTAATGATTTCTGTAGGAATCTTTACTGGGACTTTTATTAATGATTTCTGAAGTAATCTTTACTGGGACTTTTATTAATGATTTCTGTAGGAATCTTTACTGGAATCTACATTACATATTAACAGTAAGACATAGTTTTCATGGTATTACCACTTCATAAAAAAAAACGTACTTGTAATATTAATGATAGGTACAATGTGTTCAAATTTGATCAGTTTTGGGTACAACTTTTGGTAAGTAAAATCTGTCATACACAGAAGAAGTGGATTTCTCTGTGATATTTACTGGTCACTTTGGCCTAACACCATGTAATGTCTTATTCCATTACACAGAAGAAGTGGATTTCTCTGTGATATTTACTGGTCACTTTGGCCTAACACCATGTAATGTCTTATTCCATTACATAGAAGAAGTAATGTACTGCTCGGTTAACTACATTTTTGTATCTGAATATAAAATGTGTGATGCTGCTTGTTCGTGAAATATACGTATTGATCACTAGTTTGAGGTAGGAAATCTTGCCGGCTTGTCCTTACTCTTGTTGCTGAATTTATTGATTGAAAGATCTTTTCCCCATTTGATGTATTAATTCACAAATTTCTTGTTTTAATTTCTGAGTAGTTACAAATGTTGTTTCTGTTGAGCAGATTTGCCAACAAAATGTTTAGTCCTATCTGGAACAGGGACAACATCGCCTCAGTTGTCATCAGCTTTAAGGAGCCGTTTGGAACTCAGGGACGAGGCGGCTACTTTGATGAGTTTGGAATCATCAGGTAATCATATTGATGAATGAAATATATTTGTTGCAAATGAACTAGTCCAGGACTAAGATTGGCCTACATTGTCATCTCAAACATTTTCACTGTAGCCTACATATTAACCTTTCTCTATAAGAACAATGCTGTGAGCAACCCATCCTCTCTATTTGAACAATTGAGAGGTAAGAGACTGGTATAGTAAAATAAAGGACAGATTTAACAATTAGCACATATAATGTCCAGCTTACTGAAAGCTTTCGATGACCTCAATCTTTCTTGATCACTTTAGTGGTGTACGCTAGGTGGTAATAATAATTGACATGAAGCTAGATGATAATATCAGCCAAGGTAAGGTTCAAGGTCATATGATTTAGAGGTCATCATATTTAACATCGTTTCAGAACATTTAGATACTAAATTTGATGTGAGGGTGAAAGTTTGAGTATTGTATTTACAGGGATGTTATGCAGAATCACCTATTGCAGATTTTAACCCTGGTAGCCATGGAGAAACCTCCAACAACAGGAGCAGAGGACATCAGAAATGAGAAGGTAATTATGTGTGTACTAACGCTAATGGACAATGTAACGTCACATGATAAGGGTACCACTTGGAGGTTACTATAAGGGATAGAAAACATAATTTTGCCCTTTCTTGTTGTATCTGGCGAAATTGGTAAGAAAGAAATTATGGTATACCACCTACTTACAGTAACCTTTGACCCTGGTTAGCACACTCCTACTTTGATGTGTTATTGATATTAAGCGACTCGTTGCAGACCTGTTGTTATGTATTTTCCAGCATTTAAACTACCTAACGACCCTACTTATAGAATGGGCCATTGTTGGCTCTTCCCCCTTTCAGGTTTTTACAATTCTGTTTGGTATTGTCCTATGATTAGCTAGGGTCACTTTCAGACGGGCCCATCTTGTAATAGTTGGTGGCTATCTCACTGACCACTAAATTATTTGAATTGAATTGCATTGTTTTTCAGGTAAAGGTCCTGAAGAGTATATTACCTGTTGAAATGGAACATATTGTCCTAGGCCAATATGTAGGTAACCCAGAAGGCACAGGTGATGAGAAAATTGGATATTTACAGGATCCAACTGTTCCAAAAGGTACACACCCTCTTATTAGTCTGAAATAACTTGTTTTCTCTGAAGGTCCCACCTAATTGGTCTGTAATAACTTGTTTATCTCTGAAGGTCCCACCTAATTGGTCTGTAATAACTTGTTTATCTCTGAAGGTCCCACCTAATTGGTCTGTAATAACTTGTTTATCTCTGAAGGTCCCACCTAATTGGTCTGTAATAACTTGTTTATCTTTGAAGGTTCCACCACACCCACATTTGCCACAGCTGCCCTATTTGTGAAGAATGAACGGTGGGAGGGTGTACCATTCTTCCTGAGGTGTGGAAAGGGTAAGAGGATTACCAACTTCACTCTAGTTGTGATCTGTGAAATAAAAGAAGTTCGGCCAATCCATATTTGTCAAAGGTTTACTACAAATGTATATAAAAGGAAATCTAATATGTAAAGAAAGAAAAAATATATTAAATGTTTTATACATATCAGATTTTTTTTATATGTTGTGTGCTAAAATGAAACTCATGTGTTGTAGCATTGAATGAACGGAAAGCAGAAGTACGGATTCAGTTCCGTGACATACCAGGTGACATTTTCCCTCCCGGGGATGTCAAGCGGAACGAGCTGGTGATTCGAGTACAGCCAAACGAGGCTGTTTATTTAAAAATGATGACCAAATCACCAGGCATGAGTTTTAAGAGTGAAGAAACGGAACTAGATTTATCTTACAATCATCGTTACCAAGTAAGAGTCCCGATCCTTACTGAATAGTTTAGATAGAAAGATAGTTTTCTGGTATCATCCTTTAACTTTGTTGGTGATATAGAATCGTCAAAGCAACTGAAATACCTGGGACTAATACATTGAAAATGTATCCCTCCCAGAGATAACAGATTTTGTATAGGGGAACCACTTATAGACTTAATTGATGATTTGCTTGGAAGTGATAGAGAAGAAAATAAAGACAAGATAGAATTAATTTTAGAGTCCTGGGGTCAATTAGATGTTTTACTGGAATAGCTCCAATAGAGTCCTGGGGTCAATTAGATGTTTTACTGGAATAGCTCCAATAGAGTCCTGGGGTCAATTAGATGTTTTACTGGAATAGCTCCAATAGAGTCCTGGGGTCAATTAGATGTTTTACTGGAATAGCTCCAATAGAGTCCTGGGGTCAATTAGATGTTTTACTGGAATAGCTCCAGTTTTACTTTGCAAATATCTCGGCAATTTTATCAAATTCCATTACAGTTATCACAATGTGATGTCAGGTTTGTTGATAGAATTCTGACTTTTAGAAGGCTGTTGTTCTAATTATCATTTCTTGAATGATTTAGAATTTGTTTTTCTTAAGCAAATGAAGAATTTTTAATTAAGAAATTTTCAAACCACCCACAAACCTTTATATGATAATCTTATGACTTTGTGTCTTTAGAACTTGAAGTTGCCAGACGCTTATGAACGTCTGATACTGGACGTCTTCTGCGGGTCACAGATCCACTTTGTCAGGTCTGACGAACTCTTCGAAGCCTGGAGAATATTCACTCCTCTACTCCACAAGATAGAGAAGGAGAAACCAAAACCAACAGATTACGTGTATGGCAGGTCAGTAACTGTGTGTATTTTTGTAGTACTACTAAAAGTGAAATTACACTCCTGAATTCCATACTAGGGTTATCTTAATCAAATATCCTTCATTTTTCCTTTCTATAAACCTCAGTTTGTGGAGTTTAATTGATTCAATTTCTAATAATTAGTATTTCTCCGATTTGATTCTAAATATAAACATGAGTTCATATTTTCTATAGGTGTTTTCTGTGTATCATTTCTTAGTCTCATTTACTAAACTAAAGGTTTTGACTTTCACAGTTAGATTTAAAGTAGAAAACATCTTGTCAATCAAGTGGTCTGTAAGATTGGAGGCAGTGTATTTACATCATCAGAGAGTTTTGTTCATCGCTTATTATATCCAACAAAAAATCATAAGAAACACAGCTGTAGACCTTCTGATGTCAAAAAAACAGACACCCATTGTTTCTTTAAAGTTAGACTCTAGTCGTTGATGTTGCCATCTGTATGCCAGGTGTTAGTACTTATGCTAGACACTTTGACCTTCAGAAAGATGGAATGAATTAAACTAGATTGTCCTCAATAGAATACGATGTTATTACTTATGCTAGACTCTTTGACCTTCAGAAAGATGGAATGAATTACGCTAGATTGCCCTCAATAGAATACAATGTTATTACTTATGCTAGACACTTTGACCTTCAGAAAGATGAAGTGAATTACGCTAGATTTGCTGTTTTCAGAGTAGATGATATTACTTTCGCTAGACCCACTTGTCTTTCTGTATTACATAAAAGATATCATTTTTTTGCTAGATCTTGTAGATAATTCATCAAGGAAATTAAATTTAATTATGCTGTCTTCAAATAAAAGAAAATTCAATATTCTACAGAAAAAAAACTGTATTTATTGGAATTGTTTCTATGAGGAGTTCATTAAGAAGTTGTAGAATTGTTTTCTTAATATTTGTTGAAGCTAAAGTGGAAGATTCTGAAAAAATTGCATAATTGGATGTTTCTACTGTGAAAATACAGCCATGCTGGGTGATGCTTCTTGTTTTGTATGCTGACATCACCCAGTAACTCCTCTACATACAAAATGAAATATTTGTTGTCTGTAATTGACCATAATCCAATGGTCTAGAATGGAAAGCTTACTAAAGAGTTCAGTTTGACAACAATACACCTTTTTTTTTCCAAAATCTGCCTTTTTTTCAGATTTCTGCCACTATGTACCAATATTTAATTAATTTTTGTTTGAGATTTACACAATATTGTACATCATGTGACTTCAGACTTGATTCATGATTGATACCTCACAAGGTTGCACCAAATGTAACAAATTCTTCCTTAACGAAATGAAATCTAAGTAAAGCTATATTTAATCTTAAAACCAGTTTTTTTTATAATGCTTAACACGCTGGTTCAGCTTTTTGTCACCGAAGTCATTCGTTTTTGTATTATTAAATTCACTAATTGATAATTCTTGCACTTAACATTATTCTAACAAATTAAGCATTTTAGCTTTAATTAGCTGATTGGTCTAATTTATTCGTAAATATTTGAAGGATTGGTGTACTTGAAAGAGGAACATGTAGCTTTAAACAAATACCATTAGTCATAGATTTAAGAGAAAATGACATATTATAAAACAAACATTGATCTTAGAACTGTGTGAAGATTATGGTTGATGTGTTTGAAGCAGCCCATCAACCCAATTAGGCAACAGAGATGGGTAAAATCAATGTCGGGGAAATCCATGCGAAGGTTAGTTAAGAGATTTTTTCAACACTTGGCTACACATTCACAAGTTTCCATGTCCACTGAGCATGTAGACATGGAACATCATTACTGGACAATAATTGAATTTGTGTTATTCTGTGTTGATTGATGACCACTCTAGAACTCAATGTATAGAGATCACACACTGTTACAGTTCCAGACTCCTGAATGGCTCCTGGTGTAGAATTGTAACTAAATTTTTGTGAAGATTGTAGAAGTTTTCTTTATTTCAGCTGGTGTAATATATATTGCATTATGAAGAAATAGAATGAATGAACAGTTTGTAGAAAGGATACGGGAGAGCATACTACATAAATATTTTCCTTTCTTTTAAGTGATTGAAAGAAAATCATAATGACACATAAAGTAAATCTATTTGATAACTTTTATTTATATACAAGCTTGATTCAATCGTTAGGTGAAAAGAGGTAACATGTCAGCTAACTGTACAACAGACAGAGGAAGAATATACATATTGTAAACCTGACTTCAGGAGTTACTCTTCTCCATATCTGTTTTATTTGTTGATATTAAACACCAAAGAAGTCAGAATATACTTCTTGAAAACCTGGCTGGATAAGTTGTTCCTGACCATCAGGAATAACTGACCCCAGACTAGCCAATCATTTTACAACCTCTAAATTCTGACCATCAGGAATAACTAGCCCCAGACTAGCCAACCATTTTACAATCCCTAAATTCTGACCATCAGGAATAACTAGCCCCAGGCTAGCCAACCATTTTACAATCCCTAAATTCTGACCATCAGGAATAACTAGCCCCAGACTAGCCAATCATTTTACAACCCCTAAATTCTGACCATCAGGAATAACTAGCCCCAGACTAGCCAACCATTTTACAATCCCTAAATTCTGGGCTTGATGAACACTGCAGCAATAACACTTGGTAAATCATGACTATCGGACAGCCTCACTTGGGCACACCAGAGAGTAATATGGATGTTGTCTGTGTATGTGTGCATACCACACAGTGATATTGATGTTGTCTGTGTATGTGTGCATACCACACTGTAATATGGATGTTGTCTGTGTATGTGTGCATACCACACAGTGATATTGATGTCGACAGACTAATTGTGGTCCCTATAATGACATGTCTTGGCTGATTAGTAAAGTGTCTGTGGTGACAAGCTGTGGGCCATAATAACTGAACTCCTTAGTGTGATCTCTCCACTGACACAGATGATATAATCAATTGTAATTCATGCTTTAGGCTGCAGACAAACACAGATAATCCAGTTATCTGGTGTCTCCTAAGCATTATCAATATACTGCTGAATTATGTGAACATCTTTTGGATAACAACTCTGATGAAATAGTTGGGCTGATCTGTCACTGTTATTGATTGGAACCTATTCTACTGCTTGTGTATCAATCTTCAGCATAGCTTTTGGTCATATGTGACCTTTGGATGTTGGATGCAACCTTGTACGTAGGTCAGATCTTTGTATTCTCTTACAATGGACTGGTAAATCCATGCTTTTTACCTGTGGGAGATAAAGAGGATCTTTCACTAGCTTGAGGGTAGGACACAGAAATTTTTAACGGAGGTGGAGATTCATGTCTAACCCAAGGCTTTTCCGAGGCTGTCTTACTCCACCAAGAGTCTTACCCTGACAGGAAGTGTAGATATTACTGTCCGATGGTTTAGATTTACTTGTCTTACACAAAGGTTGATACAAGACCATTACCTCTCTTACATATCACTGTAACCCTACAGGGTTAACTACTGACCACCAAGTATATCAGATCTCTGTTACCCTACAGGGTTAACTACTGACCACCAGGTATATCAGATCTCTGTAACCCTACAGGGTTAACTACTGACCACCAGGTATATCAGATCTCTGTAACCCTACAGGGTTAACTACTGACCACCAGGTATATCAGATCTCTGTAACCCTACAGGGTTAACTACTGACCACCAAGTATATCAGATCTCTGTTACCCTACAGGGTTAACTACTGACCACCAGGTATATCAGATCTCTGTAACCCTACAGGGTTAACTACTGACCACCAGGTATATCACATTTCTGTAATCCCACTGTCCTCCTTCACTCATTTGGTCTCCTGAGACAAAGTTTCATTGTGTGCATCTGTAAAGATTTTACATTTGTGATTTCTTCTGCCTCCAGCCCCTAACACCCTACACACCCACCCCTAGGGGCCTGAGGGCAGGGCCAAATGTTTTAATTTTAAAAATTGAAGGGTCTTATAAGCTGTTTTTACCAAAATTGTAAGTTTCATTACCACAGAGTCTCATATTTTCCTGTGGGCAGGGAATAAAGTTTATAGGAAAATTACATTTTTGAGCATTATGTATATATATTGTATTGGAAATACTTAACTTGGTTGGATTTATTGTTATAGAATGCGAGTATAATGATATTCACATATTAACCATGGCTGACCCCCAGGGGCTGATAATTTGGGCTAAAAAAGGGGGCAAATTGACTGAAACTTCAAAAACCTTCTTAATACCCAAATATGGTAGAGTCAAACACTCTTCATAGATGGACAAGTTTAGAGGGGCTTTATCGAAAATTGTAAATTTCATGACCCCCAGGAGGGTCTTTCATTTCCCGTTTGGGAGGGGGTAAAGTTTACAATAGTTTAATGGGTCACCATTATGTAATCAAAAATACACAATAATGGAGTACAACTTGAGTAACACTTCTCCCTCCCAGTACAAAATGTTATACGATACTGGTGACAACTTGAGTAACACTCCTCTCTCCCAGTACAAAATGTTATACAATAATGGTGACAACTTGAGTAACACTCCTCTCTCCCAGTACAAAATGTTATACAATACTGGTGACAACTTGAGTAACACTCCTCTCTCCCAGTACAAAATGTTATACAATACTGGTGACAATTTGAGTAACACTCCTATCTCCCAGTACAAATAGTTATACAATAATGGTGACAACTTGAGTAACACTCCTCTCTTCCAGTACAAAATGTTATACAATACTGGTGACAACTTGAGTAACACTCCTCTCTCCCAGTACAAAATGTTATACAATACTGGTGACAACTTGAGTAACACTTCTCCCTCCCAGTACAAAATGTTATACAATACTGGTGACAACTTGAGTAACACTCCTCTCTCCCAGTACAAAATGTTATACAATACTGGTGACAACTTGAGTAACACTCCTCTCTCCCAGTACAAAATGTTATTCAATACTGGTGACAACTTGAGTAACACTCCTCTCTCCCAGTACAAA